GGGGGGAAAGACCAGAGTGGTTGTTGTTGTTTTTTTGATGTTTTTAAAAATGTAATCACCCTACGAGTAGAAAAATGAGTGGCGACCTAGACCCTACAAGGCAGAGTGTGGCTTTACTTTTGTTAGTGTTAGTGAATCGAACGTTTCGAACGTTCCCTGCCCACAGATATACGTGCGTGTTATTGTCACCTTGACAGGCAATCCACTTCAGTCGAGATTTTGAAATCACAAAAGAAAAAAACGCTTCACCCTCCCAAAGCTCTACCAAAGATACACCTTTCAACATCACCAAAATACAGTTTATTGCTATGGTCAAGGCTTACAATTTTCCTGATTTCCTGATTTCTGATAGGAACAACACAACAACAACTATTTTTCTGTCTCTCATGTAAAAAGTTCGTAAACAGACTTAAGTGGATTGTCTTGTGACACTGACGTCATTGTCGTCTACTTAGATCTACACACCTCAACATAAAGAGTCCGTTGAGGGTAGTCTGTTCCTGGTTTTAGGGGCGGCATCTTGTCAAATCCTTTATAGTTGCAGTCAACATAATAGTCGGTACAGTCACACAGCTGGGGATTAGACATGTGAGAGGAAAATGTCATACCTCACTCATAATGAAATCATGTTTCCTGGACTTAGAAATGTACAGTTCAGACTTCTCAAGGAATACACACATGTATAATAATAATAGTAATAATAATAATAATAATAATAATAATAATAATAATAATAATAATAATAATAATAATAATAATAATAATAATAATAATAATGATAATAATAATAATAATAATAATAATAATAATAATAATAATAATAATAATAATAATAATAATAATGATAATAATAATAATAATAAAACAGTAATAATAACAATAGTAATAGTTAGAGTGTTATTAATGCTCCAACAACAACAACAACAACAACAACAACAACAACAGAAACAACAACAACAATTTCTACTACTACTACTAGTTGTTGTTGTTGTTGTTGTTGCTGTTGTTGTTGTTGTTGCTGTTGGTGGTGATGGTGGTGGTGATGGTGGTGGTGATGGTGGTGTTGTTATCGTAGTAGTGTGGTGAGCCTTGGTCTAAGGCAGAGAAGAACAGGACACACACACCAAGGTTATAGACCAGCCGAGTTCTTACCTCATACGGACATACACAACAAGGTTATAGACCAGCCGAGTTCTTACCTCATACGGACACACACAACAAGGTTATAGACCAGCCCAGTTCTTACCTCATACGGACACACACAACAAGGTTATAGACCAGCCCAGTTCTTACCTCATACGGACACACACAACAAGGTTATAGACCAGCCGAGTTCTTACCTCATACGGACACACACAACAAGGTTATAGACCAGCCGAGTTCTTACCTCATACGGACACACACAACAAGGTTATGACCAGCCGAGTTCTTACCTCATACGGACACAAAACTTCCGCCAACAGCGAGGGCGCCCATGCAAAGATCAGGATCCACGCCACCAAAGACCATCTCTCTTGTGAAGTCCCCGACATGTCTTCTAACTACAGACACAGAATGTATATAGGCTAAGTAGACGTACATTACTTGTGTTACACCCTGGGGAAATCAGCCGCTCCTCAAAATAATAGAATCGTAGAAAACAACAATTTTTCTCTGTCCGTTGAGCAATTATTTCGATTTTTACATTTTGGGCTCAGCGCCGTATATGTCCATTTAACTAAACATTACTGCTTTAATGTTACTGAAAAACAGTATTCAGAGGCACTGAAAAAAAAAGTAAATTTGTCTTTTCCAAGGACACTTCAGCTTTAGAAGTCACCAAACTTTGGCGGCCATTTTCTGGCTCATTCTAGTTCTGACGTCAGGCGATCTCCACTTCTTTCAATTGCAGATATCTCAACCTCTCTTCAATATGGACGGACATTTTTTTTCCGTTAAAAGCATGGCGACTTTAGAGGTTTAACTCAAAAGTCCACATTGCTTTAATATATTGGTATAGAAATATTCGTAAATTAATTGTAAAATTGAAAAGTCAACATTGCTAATCAGTATGTTGATTTATAGACATTCGTAAACGAATTGTTAGACTGACAAGTCCACATTTCTCCCAAATACAAAATATTGATACATGTCTCGAAAACGACACTTTCGTTATCGAAAAACACGATATGCACCATATTTCAGAGCACCTTGCTTGCGTAAAGCCTTCTAGAGTCGTGACTCTGTGTTTCTCCATTCTGATGATTGTCTTCTTTGTTCTGGACCCCTTGAATACACTCATGTTTCATCGTCTGTTAGGATTTCTTTTGTTTAAATGTCACTTTATTCCTTGAATACACTCATGTTTCATCGTCTGTTAGGATTTCTTTTGTTTAAATGTCACTTTATTCCTTGAATACACTCATGTTTCATCGTCTGTTAGGATTTCTTTTGTTTAAATGTCACTTTATTCCTTGCAGTATCATTTCTTCCCCCAAAATCAAAGGACTGTAATAAGGGAGCAGAGATTTGAAGACGAAGAAGTAATGTGGGGCAGCGTAGTGAAATCAGGCGCTCGTCAAAATAATTAAAGTGAACAAACTGGCATTTTTTCGGAAGTTTGGGAATTTTTATTGAATTTTTGTAGGTTGGGTTTTTTGTTGTTGTTTTTTTTTGGGGGTGGAGGGGGGCTCAACACCTTTCGTGCCCGTATATAAGAACACATAACTGTTAGAATTTTACTGAAAAATTTGATTAAAGGCGCAATTTTTCAGTTTCCAGGGACTCTCAAGCTAAGGAAATAACTCACCTTTTGCGGCCATTTTCTAACTTAGTTTACCTCTGAAACAAGGTGACCCCAAACTCCTCCATTCGCATTTATTTCGACTTGTATTCAACATAAATGGATAATTTATTTTTCATCCAAAGCAAGACAAAAGAACAAGCTTTAAGATGATACCAATAACTCTACATGTCCAAAAACTGACGAGAGCCTGATTTCACTGCGTCGTGACCCAAATTGCAAGGGAAACATGCTGTGCCAGGGACTCTGACTGAAGTGTGGGAAACATGCTGTGCCAGGGACTCTGACTGAAGTGTGGGAAACATGCTGTGCCAGGAACTCTGACCGAAGCAGACGTGGTCACTACGGTTGACCGCTGGCTACACCAGATGGAAAAGTGCATTGAGATAAGCCGTTGTGATTGTAAATAGAAAAACATGTACAACATACCTGGTAGCACACTGTGTCCTTTTCAAACGGTTATCTATGTCAAAGGGGGACACACACAGTACTGACTTTGATCAAAACTATTCCACAACAGCTTACCATCATTCTTGAAGCATTAAGTACAGATGCGGCCAAAAGTCTAAGAACACCATTATGCTTTTATGTTATTTTTATTGCTGTTTTTCTCCTAACTCTTTTAGCCATAGAATCAGCACAGTATTATTATCGCTGAGTTATAAATGACAATACTTGCTTTAAAGAATGTTCAGTTTTGATCGTTGACCATTGGTTCTGTGTAAGAAAAAGGACAGGAATTATGGACACAACTTACCTTATGCTTTCCTCCGATCCTAATGCAGAACTGTAGGCTTGAGAAGATAACGTGAGAATGAGGCTTTTGGAAATGCTGGAGGTGAAGCATTGCAGCTGTTTTTATACCCCACTGCAACAGCACCGGGGGAGAGGGACCTCCACGTCATCGGCAGGTGTAAGTGCTCACAGAATCGGAGACAACGAGACGAGCTAGGTTTTTAAAAAAATCTCGTCACGACTTTCAGTAACTGGGACTCTGTCGAATCAGCATTTGAGTTTTTATAATAAGTTTTCTTTCTCAGTTAATTCCAAACATAAGATTTCTACAAACAAAAACATTAGATAAGTAGATAATATCGAGGAGTCAGCTTGAACCGGACACAGATGATAGAAAAACAGCGGTAGACCAAAAGAAAAGAAAATCCACAATTTTACTTCTTCTTTGTCTTGATAAAAAAACAAACCACAGTATAGATAAGTGTAAACGCTCCCACTTCTAAGCCGAGAAGAATTTTAAGGGTTGAATCTTCACTAGCAACCGTTGCACAATCAGCACGTCTTACAAGCTTCAGGATAGCAAAAACATCTGTCGCTTGATGAAATCATGAATTTCGCAATATGTAGGAATTTTTGGAGAAAAAAAAATGTTGATTGTGCTTGTTGAGAGACACGTCCGCCTTGTAAAACTCTTATCTCTGTTATCTCAACTGACATGTGCAATCCGGCATAAAAAGAAAATCCTAAATAAACACCGTGCCCCGAAAGAAACCGGATGAACCCGTAAATTCCACATCTGTTTTGAACCCACGATCTCATCATTCAGTTTAGGACTCGCCGGGTTCATCTGTAGCGTTGTGCACAACTCGGGAGACCTTGAGATATACGCGTTTTGCAAACACAATTGTCGGTCAGTGTTTAGGTTTCTAGACCATAGATCATAATTTCAGACGTCCATGACCTTCATCTTGCAGGTAAAAACTCGCTGTCACGTGATGAAAACTTTTGTTTCACAGACCAAGGGCTGGTTTTGTTTCACGAGGACTGTCAAGTTCAAATGTATGATACGCGTGTCTTTTGTTAGTACTTGTAATTTAACAATTTCCTTAGCAACATTTCTTAACTTGTAAATTACGACGGGGTCTTTTCCTGTGTTGTTTTAAAAATTGCAACATGTTGGACAAAGAAAGAGTATTCATTTAACAGCAGAGCCGCCAAACGAAAAAAGGAATGTTGCGAAGAAGAGCAGTCTGAACTGGGGGTTTTTTTCTAACAAAGAATGTTGCAGAACATCCGCCTTATACCAGCACGGGAATCGTAAAAAACCCGTTCTCAGTTAAAAACTATAACTTTAAGTACACGATGCGTGGAAACAGAACAAATGTTAAATTAAAAGATGAAAAAATACCTTCGTCAGGGTGACCAGCAATACAAACCAAGAGATAGGACTATGAAAGAACCGAACAAACTGCAAACTAAAAACCAGATGTGAATAGCTCAAAAAATAAAATGACTACTCACTATATTGAAAGACAAAGGTAGAGCAAATCATGTTTGTATCTGTGTTTGAAATTTGACGTGGTGAGAGAGGAAACATCTATGTCAGTTGTCTTCTCAGCAGGAAAGTGTCTGACTGGAGGTGCAGCAATGGCGATACACCCAGCTGACGAAAGACGCACACCTAGGTGTATTATCTGAAACAGAATGACCAGAAGATCATAGTGTTGAGGAATATGTTGCTATCTTTGACTGGGTCATCTGTTGTAAAGTGACATAGAAGAGCCCACGCTGGCTGCATCATCTCCTGTCTCAACCTGGACCGACAAATGACAAACACTTTCCACGTATCCCTGTCCCAGGCTAGCTTTTTCACCTTACTCAAAATATTGTTTAAAAAGACACAACATGTTTTGAAGTTTCAAAAAACAAACAAGTATTGACTTGAAGTTTTAAGCAAAGTTTAGAGTGTAGTGACTTGAAGTTTGCAAAAAATGTACTGACGTGAAGTTTTCAAATCATTCATCTATCTTGAATAGAATTCAAAATATGTACGATTGAAGGAGGTGGGCGCAGCTTGGTTTTACAGTTTAATTTACAAAAAATGGCCGCCAAACTATACAACAACCACAGCGCAAGGTAGAGAGTGGACGGGGGGGGGGGGCGCTCTCGTGCTTTAGAGGTTCCGGTGTTAATCTCTCATTCAATAGGTCCCGGGTTCGAATTCGGATAGAAACTTTTCTTCTTTAAAAATGGTGTCCTTTCACTTCCTTTCCTGCTCTCTAGCAATGTTCTATCGTTTGCTGTTATCTCCACTTTCTGCCCCCACCCCCTCACCTCCTTTCCCCCCCTCCTCTGGGCTCCTGACTCTTTCTGCAGTCTTTCTACTGCTACTCCTTGGGTCCTCCTTACTGCTGTCTTACTCCTGATCTTATGGTAGAAAAGACCTACACCTAGCCTTCTCGGACAAGTACGAAATATGTCGGAGGTCCCGTGTGCAAGCTGCGCACGTTAAAGATCTCTTGGGGGTCTAAAAGCGATAACAGTAGTCTTCCGTCGTCATACGGGCAAACTTTAAAATTTCCTACCAACTGGAAATGTTTAATGTGTCCCGCACGCTCATATGACCGTTAGCAGTTGCGGGCGCCGTAAATTACAAAATAAAGCAAAGAAGGAAAGAGAAGGTCACCGCACATTGATGGACAGTTGGGACGGTGACACTTACAAAAGCAGCACTAGTAGACGTGACAGTTGGGACGGTGGCACTTACAAAAGCAGCACTAGTAGACGTGACAGTTGGGACGGTGACACTTACAAAAGCAGCACTAGTAGACGTGACAGTTGGGACGGTGGCACTTACAAAAGCAGCACTAGTAGACGTGACAGTTGGGACGGTGACACTTACAAAAGCAGCACTAGTAGACGTGACAGTTGGGACGGTGGCACTTACAAAAGCAGCACTAGTAGACGTGACAGTTGGGACGGTGACACTTACAAAAGCAGCACTAGTAGACATGACAGGACGGTGACACTTACAAAAGCAGCACTAGTAGACGCGACAGTTGGGACGGTGACACTTACAAAAGCAGCACTAGTAGACGCGACAGGACGGTGACACTTACAAAAGCAGCACTAGTAGACGTGACAGTTGGGACGGTGACACTTACAAAAGCAGCACTAGTAGACGTGACAGTTGGGACGGTGGCACTTACAAAAGCAGCACTAGTAGATGTGACAGTTGGGACGGTGACACTTACAAAAGCAGCACAAGTAGACGTGACAGTTGGGACGGTGGCACTTACTAAAGCAGCACTAGTAGACGTGACAGTTGGGACGGTGGCACTTACTAAAGCAGCACTAGTAGACGTGACAGTTGGGACGGTGGCACTTACTAAAGCAGCACTAGTAGATGTGACAGTTGGGACGGTGACACTTACAAAAGCAGCACAAGTAGACGTGACAGTTGGGACGGTGGCACTTACTAAAGCAGCACTAGTAGACGTGACAGTTGGGACGGTGGCACTTACTAAAGCAGCACTAGTAGACGTGACAGTTGGGACGGTGGCACTTACTAAAGCAGCACTAGTAGACGTGACAGTTGGGACGGTGGCACTTACTAAAGCAGCACTAGTAGACGTGACAGTTGGGACGGTGACACTTACTAAAGCAGCACTAGTAGACGTGACAGTTGGGACGGTGACACTTACTAAAGCAGCACTAGTAGACGTGACAGTTGGGACGGTGGCACTTACAAAAGCAGCACTAGTAGACGTGACAGTTTGGACGGTGGCACTTACTAAAGCAGCGCCATGACTTGACAGAAGGAGCGACGTGCACTGATAAGCATGTAGTCAAACTGCAAGGACACTGACTTTCACAGACACACGCGCACACATACACACAGGCATGCTGACAAATGAACAAACACCCAAAAAAAGACAGAGAAACAGACGGGGATACATTCCTACAAGTCGGGTATCGTTTTTTTTTTGTTTTAGCTTCAGTAAAAGTTTTACGGCACTTGCAACTGGATTAGGTGGTAATAGTGTCACCAGTTAGTTAGATGTATGTATAGTATAAGGTTTTACGGCGCTCGCAACTGCTAAGGTCATATGAGCGCGCAGTTAGTTAGATGTATGTATAGTATAAGGTTTTACGGCGCTCGCAACTGCTAAGGTCATATGAGCGCGCAGTTAGTTAGATGTATGTATAGTATAAGGTTTTACGGCGCTCGCAACTGCTAAGGTCATATGAGCGCGCAGTTAGTTAGAGATGTTACAAGAGAGCAACAAACACAAAACAGAAGGAGGAGAGATAAAGACGACACATGATTTGGTAGGAAACAAGTGGCACACCACACTACCAGAGCGCCCGCTAACCACCCACAAATGGTGTATTTAACTCCGGAATCATATACTGGTTTAAAATAACAATCAATTCTCAGTGCTTATCTTAGGCCGACTAGTCTTGTGCATCACTATAGGACTCATGACTGAGTGGGGAACATTTTCCCCCGCATTTTTTGGCAGATCTTTTTATCATTTGTTGTTGTTGCTGCTTGTTTTGTTTTGTTTTTGTCGTTTGTTTGTTTGTTGTTGTTTTTGTGTTGTTGTTGGGTTTTTTTTTGGGGGGGGGGTTAAATCTTTTTAAAAACTTCAATTTGGATGGTCCCGTGGTCTAGATCTAGATGTGCGGTGTTCGCCTCTCAGTAAAAAAACAACAACAAAAAAGCAACAAAAAAAGCAAAAACATTTGCTGGAAACCTTCCAGCAGCCAAAACTGTGTTTTATTTTCCTCTCTCTGACAAATATTCTCCTGTGTCCTTTCTTTCTTGTTCTTTCCTCCTGTTTGAGAATTATTTAATCGCTTTTATCCCCACTCCCCTAAACCCTCCACTTCACTCCCCCCCCCCCCACCCCCCTCGCCCCAAGTTGCTCCTCTCTTCCTTTCTTTTCCCTTTTTTCTGTTGCTCCTGGCTCCTTCTCTATGATGTCTTTCAGCCACACTCCAGCTATTAGGGGAGGTGAGATCGAACCCTTAGCCTTCTCGGATAAGGGCAAAACGTTGCATTTGTTGCATAGAATTGCCTTTCCTGGTGGCTCTGTTTTAAGTGGTTTTTCTTTTATCTCAGACAGTCTTAGATATGTTTTTATCTCAGACAGTCTTAGATATGTTTTTATCTCAGACAGTCTTAGATATGAGCTCACTTTTGTGAAAGATCGGTATGAGCTCACTTTTGTGAAAGATCGGTAAACGAATTGAGAAAATATTCAACTCTCAAGTTCAATTCATAGTTAATTAAGATAATATTTTTAACCACAAGAGATTTATGCGTGTATCTCTTCTACATGGAAAACACTTATTCCTTGATCTAATATAGCAACATTCATATCGCAGAATGAACAAAATAATGCACCTTTAAAAAAACCCACACAAACCAACAATACAAAATTAACAACATCAAATAAACAAACAAACAAAAAACTAACTAACGATGAATCACAGACGAAATAATCCCACTGCTCATCCATTACAAAGCAGAAATTATGACATGAAAGACTTTTCTGAGGTCTCGTTGTGAAGTAAACAAAGAACGTAGTCGCCAGACGGATAGGGATGTTCACAACTTCCATTTTCTCACAGTTGATAGGAATGTTCACATCTTCCATTTTCTCACAACTGATAGGAATGTTCACAACTTCCATTTTCTCACAGCTGATAGGAATGTTCACAACTTCCATTTTCTCACAGCTGATAGGAATGTTCACACCTTCCATTTTCTCACAGCTGATAGGAATGTTCACTACTTCCATTTTCTCACAGCTGATAGAAATGTTCACTAACCTTTGTTAGACATGTGAATTCACAACGATAATAAGGATACAATAATATAATATAACATGCTGGGTTCATAAGGAACTTTTGGGACGAAACAGTCCGATAAATTAAGTGAAGAACAGTGAACATGAGTTTATCGTTTTTTCCAAAATAGATAGATAGATAAATAAATAAATAAATAAATAAAAAAATAAAAATGTAAATAAATAAATAAATACATAAATAATAAACATAACTGTGTAAAACAAACGAAGAATAAGAGTTGACGCAGAGTATTTTGTGAACGTGAAATGAGATGGTGGATAAAGTGATTCCTTGGAGAATCTCATTTTTTTCCAAAATATGATTTTTTTAATATATATTTTTTTTTTTACTGTATTTATTTCCCTCTCCCTCAAATTAAACTTCTGCAGTTTACTGACCCGTTTCTCTCTGTCTCTGTCTCTGTCTCTGTCTCTGTCTCTGTCTGTCTCTGTCTCTGTCTGTCTCTGTCTCTGTCTCTGTCTCTGTCTCTCTCTCTCTCTCTCTCTCTCTCTCTCTCTCTTTCTCTCTCTCTCTCTCTCTCTCTCTCTCTCTATCGATCTATGTATCTATCTATCTCTCTCTCTCTCCATATTTCTATCTATCTATCTCTCTCTCTCTCTCTCACACACACACATACACACACACATACACACACACACACATACACAATCACACACACACGTAGACACACGCACACACAAACACTTAATATATTATTACATGACAAAATAACAAAAAACCCAAGAACTACAACAACACCCCCCCCCCCCAATAAAAACAACCCCAGCTAAAGAACAGAACAAAAAATAAGTATAACATGGCCATCAGAAACTTCTCCCACCAAACTAAATCATAAACCACAGACAAGCTGTGGATACAAGGGTTGTGGGAATTGCACAGATGTTGAGTTATGGTGGATGCACACCAGTCGTAAGAATCTGATCTGCACGATGAGATAACATGGAGTGTGGTCGATTCATGGAGGTGCCAGTGCACACTTTATCCAGTTGGCCTCAGTTTTGTTTCGTCAGTTCATAAGGACGTTTTGCAGACGGCCCTCATACAAAAAAATCTGACAGTGCACAACTTATAGTTGTCTTCTGATTTGCCGTTTTCATCAAACCTATCAAATGTATGAAATGGTGACCAGAATAAAAAGGTAAACATATTTTATAATAATATTTGATTTGAAAGGAATTGATCAAAGTAGGCCAAAGTGGCATTTTCTATAGAAACTCCATTAAAAAAATCTGGCCACACACAAATGCGTCAAACTATACCGAATGAAGATTTTATTTAACGAAACTTTCTGCAAATGTACACTGCGTAATATATGTAGGCGATATATCTATGATCTATTTGTGGTGGCCGAATGTTGCTATTCAAAAGACTTTTTAATGGCTGCATCGATTGACATGCAGTTTTCGCCAAAAGATTCTTTAAAATATTCTCCAGATCATGACGCCCTTCGTTTTTTTTAGTTTTGAGACAGTTTTGCTGCAAAAAGCTAAATTTCTTTATTTCGCCGATCGCTTTTGTAGGCCGACGATCCTGTCCCTGTAATTTTAGAAAATCCGCCAGATTTGTTTATTTCAAGTCGTACTTCCGTTCGATACTATCGCGCATTGTCACGCAATACTGAGCTCTATTTTAAGTGTGCGACCCGTATAGATCTAGCCTCATGTTTTCTTTTTTTTACCAATGACTTTCAGTAGATGTCAATGCACCGATCATTCCTTTCATCGAAAGGGGGCGCAGCTAGTTATATATAAATATGTCTGTCAAAACTACAACTAACAATGTTAAAACATACAACTTCAGGTGCAAACATCGTACTACACAAGAAATCGTTTTAAAAGAGTTGGTTATCTTAGCGGATGCGATCACGATACACATACAATCTTGACTAGAATTTCCTAAACTTGGCAAATACAGATGGTGGAATGTACAAAAGCAACTCTGCGACTGGATTCATTTTTTTATATTTTTTTTAGGAGGGGGGTGGGGTGGGGGGGGGGAGGTTTTTTAAAAATTCCACCATAAGTTAAGAAGAGGCACAGAGGGACAATCTATTTTGAAATTATATATCTGTCTTTATCTTTCTCTAAATTATTATCTCTTTGTCTCTTCTCCCCCCCTCTCTCTCTCTCTCTCTCTCTCTCTCTCTCTCTCTCTCTCTCTCTCTCTCTCTCTCTCTCTCTGTGTGTGTGGCGTCGGTGGCCTAGTTGTTAGGCTCTCAGACTCGCAATCGTAAGGTCGTGGGTTCGAATCCCGTCAGGGGCCCGACGTTGTATCCTTGGGAAAGGCACTTTACACGAATTTTCCTCACTTCACCCAGGTGGGAATGGGTACCCGGCTATAGACAGCGAAAGATCTTGTCAGTTTGTTAGTGTTTGAGCGCCTAATCAGCTGCTTGCACTGTATGCTTCCCGGGAAACTGAGAATGTTTGGAGTGT